TCATCTTCATTGATACTAAGCTAAACCTGATACAAATGAATGATTCGCTATTTTTATGTCTTGATAATTTAGACGTGATCAAGGTGTATAAAACAACATATACAACACACATTGAGACGTTCAATAATGTCTTACAGGACTGGTTAAAGCTCCAAACCGTCTTTTTTTCAAATATCTTGCAGAGATTGCAAATAGTAAAGTAGAATATACATAATCATGGAAGCCTGATGATAAAAACATCAAAATGGACAAGTAGAATATTACCTTATACTCCTGCGTGCCATGCGTTCCATCTATAGCAACACAACCTCCATTTCCATGTTTTAGCAACCAATCTAGGAGCAAGGGTCTTGTAACAGCAAGCCTCAATGGTTTAAATGTATCACTTTTTGGTGCCTGATACAAAACAACTTGAGATGAATTCGCTTTCATCCATAATTCTGTGCTAATTCTATCATTAGCATGCCTTCTCCAAGTTTCTTTGTCCAGTTCCAATTTGATATTATACACATCGGCAGATGTGATATAATGATCTCTACTAGGGGTCCCTTGCACATAGCCTAAGCGCTGATGATTTTAGAACAGTGCTTTTGCAGCACGCATGAGAATTTGTGGAGGAGTTAAACCTCTTCTTAACTCGCATTCAACCCACTCCCTGGCATAAGAACGTAGAAAATATTAGACAACGTGCTTGCTTAGTGTCAAAGTTTTACAAACTGTAATAACAACAAACTTATTGTAGATATTACAAATATGACGGGAGATTGACTGTGAACGATAAACAAATACATTGAAAATGTAACAAATATGCCGTTACCTGCATTCAGAGGATAAATTGCGCGTCATTTGAGATGGCAAGCCAACACTATCCAAACACGCTGTGCCATGACAAGCTACACCTGCAGCATTTACGTGTCTTCTATGCTTGTATATCAATTTTGTGATTCCTGGTGGAATGTGATCATTAGACAACAGTTTAATGGCACTAAACCTGCACTGACAGCCCTTATGATGCGAATCATGATCTAGTCTATCCCTGCTGCCAGGACCAAATTTTGCTTTTGTTGATGGATCTTGAATAAAATTCGAGGAAAGCATACTCTTCTTGCCCCTTTCTGGAGTACCATACTTGCAATGATACATTGCATACGATTCCCAATTGTGCCTGATACCTCCACCCTTGTATGAGCAACGTGTCACAAATTCTGTCTTCGCATCACTATGACAAGATCCCTCTCTCGAAATAAAATCGTTAAGCCTCGAGCTTTTGATGTAGGCCGTCCCATTTGACCAATTCAACATTAACGAATTGAAAGGGCCATCATAAGGTGGGTCGTGCACAATCCATCCTGCCTCCATGCTGTCACCACACCTGCAAAAGCACCTGAAATGACAAGAAAAGTACAAGCACGAGCTCTGGCACGAGCTCCTCAAAGCACTGACACTGGCACCCAAAAGCGACGTCGAAACGACAAGCTGGAGAATATTGATGTGATTCTATTTTCAAAAACCCTAATCTTTGCCGCTTAAAATTTCGTCGCCTCAATTTGTTATCACCGTTTGATTACAAATATTACAGTTTGAACATTAGGGATTCCATCTGAGCCATACCTCTTGCAGTTTAGTTTTAGTTTTTTGTTCCCGCAACGTTCCACGACACGACTGCGATCATTGTTACGGCGTAGATCATTGCAACGCACTAGATACAACGTTGCGGCCTCTACAGTGACGACCTCTCTTCTACATGGTTGTTGGAATTTCATCCGGTTGATGGCCTCTACATGGTTGCCGGAATGTAGGGTCCGCCAACCCTCCCCGCAAAGCGCCCCGCCTCCCCAAAACTAAGATAAAATCCGGCTGATCCGGGGCAGCCCGAAGGGAGGATGAAGAAAGAAAGAAAGAGGAGAAAGAAACTGGGATACCTGACACCTGGCAGTACGGCCGTTTGTAAAAGTTTGTGCAACTAAGCGAGTCGACCATAGACGGGAGGTTTTTCAGTCTAATAAATTTTCGTGCAAGATATAATTTATCTCATTATACTGGTTTTCCCATTGCAGTGGACTGCCTTGTTGAAATATGCTTTTCATTTCACTTGGATCGAAATCATGTACTTTACTCATCTGTGCACTTAGGGCAAAATTTCCCGCAATGCATTCAATACTGCAATCTGTCACTAGTTATTTCAAATAGATGTTGTGTTTAGTGGTATATTCATTATGTACGCATAGTGTTAACATAGTCGTATCCATGTGTATATACATATAACAATAAGTTATATCAATGGTAAAGTGATTTTTTCCAAACACGAATATCTATATATAATTTGTTCAACTATTTGAACTATCTATGTAGATGATCTAAACGCCATACTCAAATTTAAATTTAAATTTCTTTGTGATATTCTTAATGAAATCCCCCTCCAGGTTGTTAAAATTTTTAATTTAATCATCATGTTACTTGGTATATAATTATATTAGAAGTTTGATAACTCCAAAAAATTATATCTTTAGAAAAATTGGATTATTAATCAAATGAATTGGATGTTACTTATGAAATTATAAAACACGTGTTTACTGAAATATTCTATGGGTTTTACGGTTTAGTATTAAAACATCAATTATCACTGATACTTTCTCAAAAAGAATGAGAATACTCCCAATTATCTATGTGGATGAAACCAAAGTTTAAAACACAAAGTTGAGTTTAACATTTTTCAGATGAACAAGACACCAAGTAATATAGCACAAAGGATGAAAAGATCCCCATCAAGCCGTTCATGGATGAAATCATTCTAGGAAGATGAGGTAGTCTCTCGATGGCACCTCAATGAGATCAAATTTTTCATAGCGAATCCCATATGCCTAAATTATATGATTCAAAAGGTCTACAAACATATAAAAGTATCGAAAGAAACATTGATAATTTGATTTCTCTTCTATATATACAACTAGCTAAGGATCTTCGTAGAACAAAGGCAAAAGTAATATTCCCAAAAAACTTATAAAAAGTGAATCCTTTATCACATTGTATTGAAGTTACTTCTACCAACAAAATTGTTTGCAATTAAATTCATAGATGTATATAAGTCTAATGAAAGGTTATATGTATATATATTGGATTTTCTAATTCTAACTATCTAGAGTGATGAATAATCACTCAGCTTGAAATTCATCAAAAGTAAAAGCAATAATCACATAATGTGAAATAAAGTATTACCGTGTATTACAAAACACTAAAGGCTACATCCATTTGAGGTCTTCAAACACCATAACAAAATAATTTCATAATGTAGAAGATTGTCGTTCATACGTAAATTCCAACCTTAGTCCGTATGAGCTTTCCGAGGTCACACGTAAGAACAAAACTACAACCATAATGTAACAATATGTTGTTCATATGTACAATGGTTATCGAGGTCTAGCCGGTTTCCCTTTGTTTTATTCTTGGAGGCCTTCCTATCGTTATTTATCGTCCCACTTGGCCCATTCTCCATGGTCCAAATCATCGCTATTTAGCATAAGCTTTAACGTTGCAGGAGCAGGAAGAGTCGCGGACTTCGTGAGTCCGCGCCAACCAAGTGCAGGGCACGCGCTTGAATGCTCACTCCACGATTCAGGTTACTATGGAGCCTCCTAAGCCGGTAAGATTGCGATCTGACGGACACCACTGTGTGGCGGGCGTGCACGGGGTTCACACAGCATGTACTATATAGTAGAGTGGCGTGCTCGCAAGAATTACGTGGTAGTGTAACTACGTGTTCGGACAGATCTGAGACTCATAACAGATCGACGATCAGGAAATGATCTTGGTTGACGAGGGTCGTGTGCTAACCACACTTCGTGCCGGCTGCCATTGTCCAGTGTGTTATTCTCGAGTACTACATATATACGAGCGGAGACTACAGTCACAGTTTATTGGCAATTATAGTGAACGAAGGTTGACTAATTTTCTGTAGAAGGTACGACGAGCTGTTCTCTCACTCATTCAATGATTCCCGTCGCACCAACTCCTCCTGTGCTCTCGATTCATTAACCTATAACATAAACTGCACTGACTTGGATTGTGATGGGGAGTATTCTGGAGTGGACTCACAAGCTATAGTTCAAGGTGTTGACTCGAGGAGGGAGCAGCCAATTTATGTGTGGTTTTGATAGATACGACAAGAGCAAACTACACTTTTCAGATGATGGTTGAAGCACTATGTATTATTCGGATGCATCAATATGATTAAAAACTGGGCATTGCCTCTCAATGTTAATGTACATTCGCTTCTGGATCTCTAAGCAGGAGAGTAGACGTCTTAGCTAAGAATTTCCTGCCATATATACCAGGAATGGTGTGGATGGCAGGAAAGTAGTGGACTAAAGACTTTGAAAGATATCACCCACGTATAATTGGGGACTCGCGGACAAAGAACTATCAAAAGATTGTAATTGTTTGAGATCATACAGAGTAGTTAGATTCATAAAGCAGTCGATATTTCAATGTAAGAAAAAAGGAGATTGAGTTTTTTCAACGTGTCGTGGATGACTATAAATATTCTCTTCATGAATGGAATGAATATTTTTATGCTACATGAATGTCCAATAGAACTATAAGCTAGATATCTTTTCACTTCGTTTTGGGCCATGGCTGCCGCTGCTCCCAAGATCATGGAAGCAATGGATTATATATACATAAGATTGATTATGTGTTCTCCAGACCTTCCTGATTTAATATGAACGCATGGAGAACACAATGACTTTCATGAAGAGTGGTACTTCACCTCGTTTATGCGAATCTCCTGCTTTGAGCTGAACAAGAACTTATAAAAAATCTCTTAAGGTTTGAAGATAGTAAAATTCCGAAGAGCATGTAACACGCGATTGATCCCACCGGTACTAATCACAGTCACTGCATATTACGGTCCTCCCGTCCAGAGAAACCGTCGGAATATTAAGTCCGGATCCTAGACCGCATGAAATGTCCAGTTGGATGAGAACTTGGACCGCAAAACGACCCCCAGACAATCAGTGCGGTCACATAAGACAGTTGCAGTCCAGATTCCAGAACTTGGCCTTTTGTGACCATTTTCGGCGACAGTTTGTTACTAGACCTGTACGAAGTCTGGACTCTGGACTCTGGACACTGGCCACCGGACTCTGGACAACGCGGTACAGTACGCGGGAAGCCGAAACGACGGACGGACCGCCTAACCGGCTGCAACCGGCGTGGGGAGGAAAGTGACAGGAAGGCGCGAGTCACCGCGGGACGAGCTTCGCGCGTCGAGAGTCGGGAGACGAGACGAGGAGGAGGGGCCGAGCTTCTGACTATGGATCGAACAGTGCGACGGGATCGTCAAAATGTGGGGAATTGAGCTGCGGGGGAGAGAGGGGAGCTGCATCGGACCGAGAAGATCGCTGCGGAGAGCGTGCACTGATGCTGAGAGGGCAAATTGATCGGAGTTTTTTGAGCCAACAGGAGGGAAAGCGGCGGAGCTCGGGGCCATGATGCTGCACGAACCGCAACATCCCATCCGATAGAGCGCGCAACTGTTTCGACGGCAACAGCGATCTCGCGCGCGAACAATGGCGAGAGTTTCGCCAGGCCGAGATGAATCACATGGACCCGGTAGAGATTGCTCCGACAGCTAGCAAGCGCTGGATTCATGATTCGGACTCCCGGACTTCGGTTTCGGGCCATTCTGCAGGCCTCGCCCAAATAGCAGCTCCCTCATCGTCTCTCGTCTCATTCCATTTGCGCACCGCGCACAGACAGTGACCCCCGACGATCATCGTTAGCGGAATTAAGAAGGAAGAGACCGAGACCGTCTCAACTTTTCAACTATGAGATAAGAAGGAAGAGTAGGAGCCTTGCTCATCGACAAGGACAGGAGGAAAGCAATTCTATTGACAGAGATTGCGAGATTGTGATAGAAAATCGATCACCGCTTTCACGGAATTTAGGTTCTTAGGGAGAAGGAGAGAGAGGGAGGGAGGAAGAGAGGGAGGGGAGGTAGCGAGCCAGGCTCGAGATATGCCAATGTCTAGGCGCAAGAGGATCTTGAAGGCAATCATCAAGGGAAAAGTCCGTGACGCTTTCTTCCGCAACACGTACGAGCGATTGGAGGACTCCGCCCAGCGCAACAGCGCGGCCGTGGACTTGGATGTCGCGCGATCGAGGATCAGTTCCGGCTCGTCGCAGGAATTTAGCCGATCTAGGAGCAGCTCAGGGCGCGGGGCGAAGGAGTTCACTCGATCCAGAAGCAGCTCCGGGTCGTCCAAGTACAGCAGCTCGGGCTCATCCCGACGCTCGCGCCAGGCCATAGCTCCCGACCCGCGGCTGCTCAAGCGCAGCGACACCATCCGGCCTCCGGAGTACAGCCTATCGTCGAGCAATTCCGGCTCGTCGAAGTACAGCATGAGTTCGTGCTCGTCCAGGGATCTCACTCGATCGAGGAGCCGAGGAAACTTGTCTCGATCGAGAAGCAGCTCCGGGTCCTCGAAGCTCGCGTTCGCCGTGGCCGGCCTCGAGAACCGGCTGCTGCAGCGCAGCGACCCCATCAAAATCAGACGGAGAGATCGATTGCTCAAGCGCACCGACTCGCTGGTGCCGAAGAAGTTCCACGTGCAGCTGGGCGTGAGCTCGTCGTCGCCGCCTCTGACGCGCGAGGACTCGTTCGGGGGGCTCAATTGGTCGAAGCCGGCGCCGAACATGAAGCTCAAGCACGTGGACTCGCTCGTCATCATCAGCGCCAAGCTGCAGCCGGGCTGCCCCGTGCGGACGCGCGACAGCGACCGGGCCATGGCCGAGGTCGCGAAGCACCGCTCGTTCAAGCGCATCGACACCCTGCGCTCGTTCAAGCGCGTCGACCCGGCGCGCGCCCTGCGCCGCTTGGAGTCGGTGCGCGCCATGCAGCCGCAGCAGCGGCGCCTCAAGCGATCCAAGAACATCCTGCGCAAGTCGCGACTCTGGAAGGCGTCGCGCGGCGTCGTGCACTTCCATATCAACCTCGGCCGCGCCGGCCCCAAGCGCCCTCGCGACTGCTACCTCCGCGCCATGCTCAAGGCCGCGGAGGATCGCGCCGGCGACGGCCCCCCCGCCGCGGCCTTCGACTGCAAGTTCGGCCCCATCCACGTCGACGAGATCGAGGACGAGGTCGGCTTCTGCCGCAACGTCATGCTCTTCTACCACCGATCCGTCAGCTGCGTGCGTTGATCCGTCCCTGCCAAATTCATCCCCGTGTGATCTGACCTTCTCCGTAGCTGATCATCATGATTCCATGAACTGTATAGTGTAGACGAGGCTTAATTTCAGGTGCCACAGAGAGAGAGAGAGAGAGAGAGAGGAGAGAGAAAGAGGAGAGAGGGAGAGATAGAAGAGGAGATTGCGACCACGGACAGAGGCGGGTAGTAGCCATTGGCAGCTCTCTGAGCGTCTCTCTCGTAGATTGTAGAACTACATTGTAGGGCGTAGGAACTTGCAGCGTAACGACTGAATGAATTAAAAATAGAGTTCAATCAGCAATGCCACCGGAGCCGAGGTTAGGGAAGGCGTAGATTTGATTGACAGCTCCGGAGACTGAAGCTTTAGGAGTTCATCGGAGAGAAATTGTACAATAATTAGTTCACGATCACCGATCGATCGACCGATCGACCACGCAGAGCATGGCCGAAAATCGGCCACAGTTGCATTTGCCACAATTCGATGACACTTACGGACGAGAATAAGGGAATGATTTTAGGTGGAGCCCTTGCAGGACCTGCAGCTGCCACCACCACCAATCTAAACGAACAATCTGAGGATCCGGTATTCTAACTTGACATTTTCTGAAGAAGAGCCAGGGATTGCCGAAGGCTTATGGGATCGTCATCATGACCATCATCATCATCGGCGCTGAGATTGATCTACAAGCCGAGCGATTCTACATTAGTAGCATGTTTTGGTCCATAGAGAGCCCAGCCCGCACATTTATACCTGTCTAGAATTACCATCAGAAGACTCGAATCTCGAGCAGAAGCCGAGCACGACGAGAATCACTCGCTGCTTCATTGGCTTCACTTGTAATTTTTCTCTCGACCTGCGGGAGCGACGTCTTCATGTTTCAAGATCTCGGCACTTCTTCCATCCCGATGCTGCCACCTCGCCACCCACACTCACAAAGGACGTCTCCTCGGATTCGGTGACGGGGCTAGTTCCCAAGAGGGTCGTTCCAAGATAAACCCTACATTAGGTGGCAGGCCGTCTTCTTTGTATCTTCCTCGTGTATAGTTGGGAAATATGACCAACAACGCACTTCATGATCTGGAATTGGAATTGAAGTTTTCACTCCGAGATACTTGAAATAAAAACTATGCAGGCTGATTCTAGAGAGGCGACATGGAACTTCTCAATCATCGATCGTCTTTGTTGTTGGGTTTTGGCACACGACAGGAGAAGAACTCAGCGAAATGAATGGAAGTGACGCTCAGAATCACGACAATCGACATGTGAATTAGAGCTCTGTGAAAAGTTTTGCCTGCACTTTTGTGAAACCGTATTGATACTCGACAGGTCCCCCACTCGCAGAGAGGAGAACATTGCTTTTTCCACCATGGAATCTGGACGTCCTTGTCTCAGTCATTTGTCTGCTCCAGTCGTTTGTACTGGGCGAACAGGACAACATTATAGCACAAGCATCGGGACGGCTCTGGTGCATGAGCTCGTGAACTGCCGGAGGCTCATTCGAGCTAGTCGTGAGACGCATCATGTCTGTCGCAGAGCACTTCGTTGCTGTGGGGCATCAGCCTCTGGGCCCTGGACGAGCTCACGCCTGTCTCTTTGTCGGGCGCCAGGCCGAGGAAGCAAGAGGACAACACTGAATCAGAAGCCACAAAATGATTTTGATTCTCTTGCGCGTGGACTCTCTGAGGTCAATGTGTGACAGCGTATGCCGGAGCAGGACATCGCTCAACTTCCCCACATCTGCAGAACGTGGCGAGGGAGAGGTGGAGTTCGTCCCGTGCGCCAGGCCCCTCCGTCAGGCATCCATCCATCTATCTATCTCTCTATCCATCGATCTCTCTCGCTTTGTGCGTGTCTATTGCCTTTCTCCTGAAGATCACACCACCACGGTCACTGCTCCCGCACTCCTTAGCTCGCTCGCTCGCTGCGCTGCCTCATGAATTCCTGAGACAGCGCTGAATCAGAGCCCACTTTACAGCATCAGCAGTTTAGCATCTTCCGGTTCGCCAGCGTTCGCTCACATCCAGATGGACCCGGCTGGCCATGTCAGAGGCGAAGTTCTTCGTGACAGAGCAGCTTGCAGAGGTGGCTGATGCAGGTGGTCGATCTCCTGCAACCGGCTCCCATTGTCCTCGGTACAGATTCTGAAAACCAGCAGCATCGGTGCGAACCTGCGAGTTACTTCCCTGCAGCAGCAACAACTGGGCACCACTGCGGGATCTAATTCATCGAGACCGGGAATAATGGAGCCTGTGGGTACTTTTCCCTCCCTCACGCTTTGTGATCGGAACTTTATTTCCAGTTTGACGATGATTTGTCTGGCACTTTACCTCTGAGAAGCTTTACCTACCTCTGTGCTGCGAGACAGCAAGAGTGCCGGGGCGATATGTCACCACATTCACTAGATTTGCTTTGCCAATATTTATTACCAGCTAACTGCAATTATTCCCAGGGGCATGCCAATTCGGAGCTCCACTGCTCAGGGCCATGAATAGAGTAGAGGAGTATCTTTTCCATGCGTGTAAAGACCGAGACTGATTGGCTGATGAGGAGAATAACGATGATAAGGTAACGAGACCGCAAAAGTTCAAAATGATTAAAGTGTTTTATACTACTGTCAAAAAGTGGAAGAGTTCTTTCTCCTCAACTTCTGCCTTCTTAGCGAAATAATGTTCTTCGCAGGAGGAACAATTATCTTGACGAGTATATTATATAATATGATGAGTTTCAATTATTTTCAGAGCAGATGTGTGTCTTTATGGTGGAAGGTCATCGGCATTGAAAATCATAAACGAGATTTACTTCCGTTGCCCTTAGATATCTTCGGGTTGTTGATTATAGATCAAGTCTTCTGCTTACTGTTGCTATATCGGAGATCGGTCGAAGGACTTGAAGGTGATTAGTACAGTGGCGATACTCTTCATAGTAAATTTGCGGATGTAAATGTGAGCTCCACTGGATGATTATGTATCATGGAAATTACTTTCGATAACACAATAAAAGGAAGACTTCAGCAAAACTGGAATTCGTGTGTGGAACAGAACCGATAACGAGTTATTACAATTATATGGTGGAAATGCTTTACCCTCTCTCTCACTATAGTAGGTCACGGTCACATAGATCTGGTTCCACCCTATTGGAACAAGTAGCTTGTCGAGAGAGATATAATGGATAGATTCTTCCCGAAATTACAACCTAAGAGTGCGGTATTGACTCAAATACAGCCATTCGGTGCATTTGTAGCTATTTTCAGCAGATGATATACTCTAGGTAACCATAATTTTGAAAATAAACAAAAATACTTTAAATTTCTTTATTATCAATGTTAGTGTCATATTTTTCACGTATGGACGGTTGATATGGGTTAGAGACAACTTATTCACAAAAAATCTATGTTACTGTTGCGTACGCTATGGGTAAGAATTCTTCATATGACCTTCTACTACCTTCTTGGATAGTAGAAGGTATGTTTTTAAATTATGGTGGTATGTATGAAGGTTATTTGCTCTCCTTGGATACTGATTGCAAAATGTTTGTGAGAGAATATACAAGAACTTTTTGCAATATATTTAGAGAGTGACTAGTTATCTCTCACTTTGGTCTAATCATACCTCATTCTAGTATGACGTCAACCAGGATTGGTCCAATGTTAGAGGTGAGAGTGTATTCAATTTATTGCTCTTCTAACATGGCTGAACTCCTCAAACTAGGGTGGTCACTCTACCCCATTGTGGATTGCCCACAACCCGCATGCACCTTGGGCCCTCTTACCTGGACTCTTAACAGTAGCGAGGCCTTCGGTCCTTATCGGGAGAAGGCCTTTACTTGGAAGATAAAGTTTGACCACGGATCCAGCCAGAGCCCAAGCTCCGAACGGGGAGCTTGTCGATGGATTCACTCATTCAATCAGCTGCAGCAGCCAGCAGGAAGTGAAAACATTTTCCTTGCGAAAATATTTTTTTCGCGGTTACATATTGCGGAATTTATCACGGGGCGCACATTGGGAGTTTTATGAAAACGTCACTGCGACAGCAACGAGCGACCTCTGCGCCTGCTCGATGATCTGAGCTGAATATTATCTGAAACTGAAATGTGCACATCAATTCAATCAATCAACATCTTCTTTCTCCTTTCTACTTCACCCCTCTCCCTCCCTCCACAATCTGTTGGGTCACACATCCATCCCCACCCCGCCCTCATCACATTGCCGCGATCCACATTCAGGCCAGCGGCAACCGCAGCAACATGCATTTGGTCAGATCAAACCATCAAGAGGATGAGCCGAACCCAATTGAGCTGCTGCGAGGGTCCGAGGTGCCGGCCGGTTGGGGTAGTCCACAGAAGGAGCGTACAGTGGCCACCGAAGTTTGTTTGCGAAGAGACCAACCATGTTATAAGAGCCATAAACTAAATCCAACGGCACCTATAACCTTAAACCAATCCTGGTCTATAGAATACTAGGTTGATGGATGATCAGCCCAAAGTGGCTGATAACTAACTAGCACTTTCCTATGTCTTACGAACATTCAATGTTTTACTACACTTTTTCAAGCAATATATTACTATTTCCCTACTACTAGTACAAGTAAGTCATAAAAAGCATATTAAAATATGTCAACTACATAAACATGACATTCATAGACCTTTTGCGACAAGAATATTACTCTAATTTACTCATTACATAATTTTGTCTTATTAATGAATTAATTAATGTTGTTTCATTTTTTTACATAAAACAATAGAAATTTTAATCCACAGCAAATCAATTAGATAATTTAATTTATCTTTGGATACTCATTATATTGTGAAACAAGGGCAATAGTAATATCAATCTAAATTAACTGATTGTATCATCTCTCTGAATGTTTCAATAACAGTAGTTGATAATATTAACAAAATCCGTTCATGAACGTATTGCAGCATCCGACCTAGATGTTTACAAGATTACTTTGTGAGGACCTAGCGCCGAATCCACCTCAATCATTAGAAGGTGCTCATTCTTTGGATCTTGAGTGACACCAGATCGTTAGCATATTTTAGTTGGAGCCCCTGGTACCTTTTATTTATTTTCTTTGCTCTTAGATTCGTGGGTGGACAAATCCATTGTGAAACTCCGAACCTTTGATATCTGTAAGAAAATATGCACCACTGTCATGTAAATTGTTGCATGGATGTGAAGGAGTACGTCTTTAGTACAACTGTACAACGAGTTTACAACAAGCAATTTGGGACGGATCCATTAAGAACCCAATTAGTCGTCTAGACTTCAATCTGACCTACGCAGAGCAAGCGTGTTCAGACTCCGCGGGAAACGATCCAATAGCATTCTTGCTGGATCCTGGTCGATGAATAATTATCAGCCAGTGAGGTAAACAGAAAGCAACCAGAATTTCCTGGTATGTGATCTGTAAAATTTGCCGCTGGCCTGACAATTATGATCAGGAGAATCAGCACACGATGGCATAGAAAAGGAAGGAGCATTGTCGACAATTGCCGGACAAAACACCTCTGCATCGTACAGCCCGAACAATACGCCATGCAAGAAAAAACAGTTCAGGGTCGTGGGGTACCTGAAATTGAAGTAGATGCAGCATGCTGCTCGCTTCTTGCGATTGGACACCGAGGGCCCTCTGTTTTGGACTGCCCTGCTGGAGGTGAGACGCATGCAATGCCCAATATGAAATTCAGTGCAGGGTGTTCAAAGCGTGGTCCCCTGAGCCCTGGCCATGCTGGTTCTAGATGGAAGTCAAATCTCGTTTCCACCTCCATACTACAAAGTGGAAGTAGCCCTCCAACGAACATCATCTTCATGTTCGGTGCTCTTAAAGCCTCTGATCGTATCAGACGGGGCTACACTCATTACAATCAGCAGGTACTGTCACCTATTTTGGTCTGACTGCGAAGAAGCTCTAGCTGAAGAAATAGTACCATGCATGAAAGATTGCTCAAAAGATTGTACGAAGACAAATTAATGTAAGGTTGGTCAATCTCGTAGTATGGTTCAAGCTTAGGTCCGATGTTATTTATGACCTCTGCAAAGTGTTGCAACGATCTTCCGGTCTCTTTTTAATCTCACAAACGAGGGAGGAAGGCCTGTCAAGATCTCACACAAACATCACATGCTATGAGTGCTGCTCTACGACTAGTTCAGTCCCTTGAGGCATGCCATCAGTTTGGTATACGCGTTCGCAGCGATGTCAGCCAATGGAAAGAAGGGATGTGTCCACCTCATTGTATGCTCTGCCGAAGGGAAAGAATGATGGTGTGCAATCAAAAGTCAACAGTCTCCTTGCCATCATATCCACCTTCGGCACTGTTATTCTCCCGAGCTCGTTTGAGGCCAATTTACCACACGAGGAAAACACCAAAGCATCTGTAGGAGTTCGGTAATAATCAAGGAGACTAAATACATGGACAGCCATCATGATTTGATTATGTGGTCGGAACTAAGCGGGTATCAGTACGATTTGAGCTGCTGTCACAGGATCCTAGTCTGCACTAATACGAGTCACGAGACCTTAATCAGAACATTAGATGGGCACTGCATCAAGTTTGGGTTGGCTCTTAGACCTCCAAAATTCCACGTCAGTTATGTGCCCATTGTCAGCTCAGAACATGGGTCAAATCATTGGACACCAGGCGTCCAACCACTCATTCGCGCAATGTAGAGCTTCACTTTTAACCCGTGAATGCTTATTGCGAGCTTACTTCCTCTTTAACGACACCTGCAATAATAGCAGTGTCACTTGCTGGCAGATCACTCTTGATCCTCCGGGCAGTAAAAATGGGGCAGTAGTTAGTTAGGAGTTCAGTTTAACGAGTCAATGTTATTGAGCAGAATGGGGACTGTCAATTGGGCGCCGTGTCGAAGATGTGGTGTGCAAGACTACAAGGAAAAAGATGGAGTGAAAAATGAAAATATAGCATTGTTGGTACGACTGGGCCACTCTTAAATTGACAGGACTAAGACCTTCAACCCTAAACTCTTCGGAGAACCTCCAAAGATAAGCCACTTTTGTCACCAAGATGGTCAGGATAGGTGTTTATTGAGCATTCTGGAATTTCAATGAATATGATTGATCTCTATGAGAATAGGTCTTGATCATTATCTCAACCAAAGAATGTAATAATGGTGCGATATTATGTCTTCCTCCGTATTTAGAATTTTGCATTTTATTATCAAGCGACTTGTCAACACTTGTCAAAGAACACTTGCTAACATTAAGCTATTGGAGCAAAGTCGTAGGTCCCCGTCGTCCACGTTTGACACAAATGGTGGCTAATTTCTTTTGCTAGTTGAGAGTAGGAGTCAGGATTGCACTTATCACGAATGCCGCCTTTGAGCTACTTGGCGGATGCGGAAGCATTTGTCCTTTGCCCAAGTGGTCGCATTTGTTTTTCCCTTCGGCCTAATCTTAATCCACATTCCAAAGGCTTGGCAGGACTGGGCCATTAACGAACAGAATATTATCCTTGTTTTGTCGACATTTTTTTGTCGGGTTCGTTTAGACAACTTTCGGCTGCAACTTTGGAATATGACCTTCAAATTTGCGGTTACCACCTCTGCCATAGTGATAATAACTGTTCGGCGGTTTTTTCCAATCTTGCATGAATGTTCTTCTTACAGCTATTTCCTACATTAGCCACAAGAAAGCCGGTCAAAGAAACCATTTGTTTTTATTCACAGAAGACAATTTCAAGAATAGAAAACTTGGTAATCTATATCAACTATTCTTTATTTTCTATCGTCCTTTGTACCTGCAAATATATTTTTTCCACTCGCGCCTTTACTCCCATTCTTGTTCTTTTTTCTAGGGTCTCAAGGTTCCATGTGGTAAAATGGATGAGCACAATATGACGATTTCATCCACAATTCATCACTTGCGTGTAGCGTGTAAGTGATAATTAAGCTTACTCATTTACCCAAAAATGGATCTTTGTTTATTATAACCTAGATCAATAGAATGAACTTGAATAGTGATTTGATAAGTGACGAATAATTCTGTTGTCTTTGTTAATACATTCATAAGTATGCAGTTATCGAAATTCATTTTGTAAATTAATCGTCTACATATCTATCCGATTTAAGTATTAACAATAGGCTAGAAAACGTATATTAGAGCTAGTTTGATTTCATGGAATGGTCATTTAATAAGTCTAGCAACTCTTGTTCATAGATAAGAAGCTTGAAAGCGATCGCCCGGTTACGACTCCTGACCTAAAAACGGGATTTCTGAATTAAAATTGGAAATTAGAATTGAGTTGATGTATTTTGATGTTATTTCATACATTATATACTATGCATGTTAGGGGATTTCTTAAAAGATCTACATCCAGATACATAAATTCAAAAGCTCATCAATAAATGTCTCAGTTTTTTTAAATACCCGCGCTTTTTTTTTGATCTCCTGATATGATTGATGTTTTGGTTAAAGAAGAATTATTTTAGCTCAAAAATCAAGTATATTTTAATTTGAACGATAGAAATGGTATAGATCACAATAGAGCAATATACATAACATCGATATACTAATTTTTAACAAACCTAAATGCATACTGGAATCATGAAAGTGCTTGAATTTCGCTCCATTCGGGTTTTTTCGAGGTGTGAATCTCTCACGGCAACACGGGAACTGGAATGAACCTTTGTCTCCAAGGGATGCCTCCGTAACAGAAGGACGACAATAATGAGCCTGAAGTCATGCTCGAATTCCACCCCTCCATGCTCTGCATCACCGATTGGAGGAAGGTCAAAGTGTAAAGCAGTCATCGAAGTATTACCGGATGTGGGCGAAGTAACAAAGGGCCTCGCGCAGCTTTTCATTATTCCAATGATCTTCGTCAAAGCGTTCGCGCACCACGCGCTACGAGACAGCGGTCGAGTCAAGTTGGTCGAGGTTTGACCGGGTCAATGTTGGACAACACCGAGCGAGATGCCGTTGCGGCTGAGCTGTAAGAGCGCTCCCAAGCAGATGTCCGACGTGGTCTAGAGAGCCTCCGTTTTGGATTGACCGCTTACTGCTTTTAGCTTTTTGTAGCTAACTCTTCTCACCAGGAAATGGAAGGAAAATAAAATAAAAGAATTTCATAAATCCCGCCTTTTAACTTGCCACCTTCGGTTTGTCGATTTACAGTGTACCCTGTTAATCTCCTGAGAAATAATTGATGTATTCACACCTCGAAAGAACTCCAATGGGGCGAAATTCAAGCACTTTAGTATTAAGTGTGATTTCAGTATTCATTTAAGTTTGTTAAAAAGTAGTATAAGAATGATATGTATATTTCTCTATAAAATATTGTGATCTATACCATGTCTATCGTTCCATTTCAAATATCATTGGATTTTTGAACATCGAATTCTTTCGAGGTGCGAGAAAGTCGTCAATTTGAAAAACAACCAAAAAATGTTTAGATTATTTTCTTTTAGCCCACAAAGTCATAAGAAAAATTACTTCTTATTCCTGTTGATGATCTTTTTCTAAGTTCGAGGTTTTCTGAACCTTTGACTTTTTTTTCTTCTCGCCTACAAAACTTTAAACATGACGTAAGTAAAGTGTATAAAACTTGAAGAACGAATCAACGAAAGTTTCGTTACAGCTACTCCCGAGTTGGGTTAAGTTTCCTATACAGTTACAGTAATATATTGTTCAAACATTTCACCGTTAACTATTAGACGTGCTTAGTGTATCCCTCGGTTTAATGAATACAACTTGAGAGTCTTCTTTTTGAAATAACGTCTTGGAAGTCGCTAGACAGGAAAATTCTTTATGTGTCCACTAGGATTGCCTCAGCGCAATTTCAGCTGAGTGTGCTTCTGAAAGTAATGCCACCACCTTCTTTGGTGCCAAAACGAGGATTAGTCCGTTATAACAATCAAATCTTCTGCGAGTTTGCTCATTAAATATTCATGGTCTTGCGCGAGGAAAGCTTTCTGAACCGATGAAAGTAGTACCGAGGCCCGAGATTTAGAATTAAAAAAGTTTAACTTCACGGTGACATCTCAAATTTAGTGTGATCCAGTCAGTAAAGCACCGGTAGCGCATACGAGACAAACATCGACAGTCGTCTCGAATTGATTAGATTTTAATTAGTGAACAAATTAAGCCGCACAAAGAAAGATGAATTGCTGTAGAGTTTTGAACTAATTTCGCCGGAATTTCAGTTGAATGTGAGTTCCCAAAAGTCGTTAAACATTTATGCTAAACTGTTTCATGTCCCTGTTGAGTGGTGGCTAATTACACAGGGCATTTTTTAAGCAGCCGCAGACCTCCCTGCATGATTTTTCAAGTCGGTAATCTCCATCCTCGCTAATGAGAGCCAAAGAGTAGAGACCTATGTACATAGGCTATCTCACTCTCCTTTTCTCTCTCTACTGGTCTTTGGGTCCACCGTACCTTTCGTTGAGACTCGAGTGATGATGAATTGGGTCCAATCATCCAGTAGTGGAAGTGATGATTGCAGCATGGGCAAGTCTGATTTCTGTGGAATGTGGATTCAGAAAGTCTTCAATACTGTCTTCCTTCACTCAACTCTGAGAGACCTGGAATGCTTCCTCCATTTTCGTTGGACCCACAAGAGACTTCACCCGTAATGACTTAATACCTGCCATGAAGAGCAAAATATAAAGAAATGAAGTACCCCTCAAAACCCTCAGTACTTGATGAAAATAAAATGGATCATAACGTCTTGACTATTCAGCTCATTTGAATTTCGTCGGAGTACAAACTCGGTAATGGAACTATTTCGCTTCGGTGTGTGTGTGTGTGTGGAGGCAAGACATAAGACTGTCGCAAAGGACCTGATCATAGAATGTACAAGAATAATTCCGAGGTTAAAATAATCAAATCAATTTTCCGCACTATTTCAGATTTTCAGGTCGATCTCCATCATCTCAAAAAGTTCTTTACTACGAGCTGAAAGTTTCGAATGTATGCATGAAAGTATAGCCTAGAGATGCAGACCAGAAATACGTTTCCCCATGCATGTACGATGCTGACTGTAGTATCTACTCAAGGCAGCAGTTGTTGTGCTCTCCAACGTATCATAACTTCTGTACATGACGGTTACGGCTGAAGCAAGTATTGCCCACCGTATATATTCACAGAAGTCCTCATTCCATAAATACATTCTGACTCAGGCGAAATCGAATGCATGTATGATTCCCGTGACCATGACGGCCTTGAT